TTTCTAAATCCAGGATTGGTTCACCGGTTTTCCAGTTTGACTAGCCAAATCATCAGTTTTGATTAGTTTTTTACCCAATCCAGTTTTGGGGGTATAACTGAACTAATCAAGGGCCCGAGTCACAGTTCAACCGGTCCAACCGTCTGGTTTGGTCCTGTTTTCTAAACAATGATAAATGTTAACACAAATTATATTGATTCTTTAAAAACTACATGGGTGTATATACACACATTTTAATTCTTCCATTAGTTTTCAATGGTTTCCAATCATGTCCTGATATTTCACACTTTGTATAATCAATGAAATATGGCTTTTTATGTTTAAATAACTTATTTATAATCATATAAAATTCATACTTAACTTTTAGGATTTATATGAGTTTTTCGGTGTATCCATGTGTATCTTAATTTTTCGTCTATATCCATGCATATCCAAAGTGCATCTCAATACGTCTCTTAAAATTGCCTCTCCGATACACATTGTGTTTCCTATACTTTGAACCTTAATTTCTACCCCTTCCCTCACCTTCTTTGTCTAATACCCTTCACCACTAAGCCTTTCCCATACACTTTCTTCTTCTGAACCCCTATTTTTTTTTTTTTTTTGAGAAAAGTATAAATTGTATTAACAGAAAAGAAAATATACAAATATGGTCCTCTATGCAAGGAGATTCTGTACAAGAACAACCTTTAAGGACCTCCAAAAATACTTACATTCACAAAAGAGGAAGAAAGATCATCAGGACTGAAACATGTAAGAGTAGAAAGCCAAGCTCTCAACATATTGACTGCAGAATTGATAACCACCTCCTCCGGATTCGGTTTCTGCTAAAAAATTCTACTATTCCATTCAGACCAGATTGCCCACAAAACTGCTAGAGGTACCACATCCCAGTAAGCTCTTCCTTTCTTTGACATTCCTTGGACCCTCCATCTGGCTAGCAAAGCCTTCACAGAATCCGGGGAAGCACCCAAAAGCTGGAACAGATTTTCTGAAGTGATTCCAGACTTTATAAGAGAACTTCTAGAAAAGGAACAGATGATTCACAGACTCCATATGGTCATTACAGAAAGTGCACTCCACGTTTGTTAGATTAGCTCCTTTCCTGACCAGAAAATCCTTAGTTAAGCACTTTTCCCAAGCCACTACCCATGAAAAAAATTTAACTTTTGAGGGTGCTGCATTTCCCCAAATTGCTTTGTAAGGAAAGGACCTGTCTTGTTCACCCAATAAGCCAGCATAGAAGGATCTGAGTGAGAAGACACTTGACTCGGGCCATCTCCACTGCCTAATATCTTGTTCATCCACATTGACTTGCCTATAATTACCCTTCCCCTCTTCTAAATCCTCCTCATCCTCCCTCATTGCTTTCTCTTTCACCACCCATTCTACCGACTTCACATCTTCCTCCTCCAATCCTCCCTCCCCTTCTCCACTTCTTCAGCCCCCAAGGAACCTGTAATTTCATGTTCAGAGCCTTTCGAAGTATTCTCGCATTGAGTACTTACCTCTAAACTTCCCTGACCCTTCATCTTTTCCCATAACCTCGCGCCTATAATTCATCATCTCCACTTGTTCATCTTCCTTGTTCCCATATGTCTCCCTTCAAATCAATCATCGCTTGTAGATTCCAACCCTCCACTAATCTTTCCTTGACCATTTTTTCTCAATAACAGAATCAATTTCATTAAATAAGAAGCAGTGATTTAAAAGGCGCGCCTAGGCGCACAGGCGAGGCGCATTTTGGGGTATGCGCCTCGCCCAGGTCTTAGGCACACCCCTTTCAAAAGGCGCATACCTAGTGCGCCTAGGCGTGTGCTTGATGCGCCTTGTGCCTCAGCCCAGGCATGCGCCTGAGCTCCGAGAACCCCCTATTTGCTAATGTTGTTCATTCATTCATTGCAATAAAATATCTTCTTAAAAGGCAATAAAAGATAAAATCATTATTTTTATGTGAGAAATAAGAATTTCAAACCCTAACATAGACTTGTTCGGGCTTGCCTCGAGGGGCGTGGTACACAGGCGACTCAAAGAATCAAGAATGCAATATGTTTTACATCACATTAACTACTTGAAGCAATGCAATTAAGGGAAAAAAGAGATTGTGGGTTATACATGCTTGAAAATGCTTTATATGTTTGCTTTTATTTTTTTAATTTTCATTTGAATACACTTTACATGTTATGTTTATGTATTTTAATTTTAGATAATATGTTTTTTAAATCATTTATTTTAAAATTTAAGTTTATATTTTTTATTAACATTATGTTTAATATATTTGATTTTTTTGCATTTTTTTGAATTTTCTGACTTTTTTTTTTATTTCTTAGCTTTTTTTTGTAATTTTGCGCCTTTCTTAAAAAGGCGTGCGCCTCGCCTTGCGCCTTGTGCCTCAAGTGCAAATTGGCCCTTACGCTTTTTTTTGCGCCTTGCGCTTTTAAAACACTGATAAGAAGAAAGTTTAGCACAATGAAAGAGAAAAAAAGGGGAAGGGGTAAACACTTTTTAGCCCTCCCCAACAGAAAATATAGTTACTACACAGCCCAAAATAAACTATTCCTTCCCACCCCTTGTTTAGCAAGTGTATCAGCAAAGGCATTTGTGTCTCTTCTGACCCAATTGCAATCCACCTCTATCCCTTGTAGCAGTTTAATGGCTTTCCTCTTCTCATATATAAAGCACCACCATCCGGCCTTCCCTTCTTTTCGGAGCCAACTTATTACAAGCTTCAAATCACCTTCAATTAACAATTTTCCTTACATTCAGCTCCTTAGCCTTTTGAATCCTTTCCAATAACAGCCATAATTTCATCCCTTAAGGACTCCCCAATTCCAATTAGGTCTAAGTAGAATGCAATGGCATTTCCCTCTTCATTCCTAAACACTCCTCTTATGCCAGACAGGCCTGGATTGCCTTCACTACTACCGTCAAAGTTGAGCTTAATAAAACCTCTAGGGGGTGGGGACCAAACAGGCCTGACCACCTCCATAAAAGGGGCAGAAACAGCTACCTCCCTCCAATTTCTCATCACCTCACCGCCAGAGACATCCTTGACCATTTACCAATGATAATCCTAAGGTTGAATTGCTCTCCTTCAAAGAAGAGATCCATACACACAAGAATTGATTTAACGCCTTGTGTTTCAATCAGAATTCTCGCATACTGCACCTTGTTCCGCAGTCGATTTCAATTTTTTTTTTTTGATAATTGGAAAGTAATTTATTAATTAAACAGAAAGAGGTATACACCAATACAGCAACCCAACAAGAGATTTAAAATGTCTGGGTACTCCATGCATGTAGAAGAATTCCAAAGGTGTTGATCCATATGCAAGATACCTCCTCTGTAACATTCATTTGTCTGATCTCCAGTACCCGTCTGTCAAGTCTCAACTCTGGAAACTTTGCAGACCCCCTTTTTCACATCTCCAAAACCCTATCTATGTCTGCTCTTTTCTTAAAACTAAACAAGAAAAGGCCTCCTTTTCCCATTTAAACCTCTATGTAAAAACTCCAGCCTTTCTGATAGTTTTCCAACATCTTTAACCACCACACCCCTTGAAGCCATTATCAATTTATCTTCATCCCAAGTTGACAACATGATGAGAGACAGAGAGAAGTGGGTCAGAGTGAGCTAATATGGCAGCCTGGCCTCAAGGGTAAATCAATGTCCTAGAAGGAACTACTTACTAATCTTGAATATGGATCCAAGATGTTTAATGAACAAAACAGACATGTTTCTTAAAAAAGGGAAGAAAAAAAACAGTCAGGCCTCTGAATATGGCCTCAAGTTAACAAGTCTTTTGTAAACCTAGGCTCTATGTCAACATAATATGATACCAATGCTGTTAAGTATACTGCTAAAAAAGTCATAGTCTATTTCTTAACTACAATTATTTTATTTGTTGGTCATTGAATTCATAATATATTTATTTTCACTAGGAAAAATAAATACAAATGGCATTCTAGGATTCTTATTAAGTACAAAGGTATTTAAAGTTAAAAGCCATAATATATACCAAGAAAATTTAGCTCAATGAAGATACAATTAATATTCATCCTAGTAATAAATGTCACAGTCTATTCATGTGTCATGAATTTTAAGAATAGTCATATCACCAAATGGTATGTCAGTGCAAGCAGATCTAATCGAGCATCTAATATTACAAGTAAAAAAGATGTCAAATGCACTTCAGAAAATAACAAAATAAAACAGGAAAACAAATAGTCTTTTTTTTGGATAGGTGGTCAATACTCAACACCCAAAGCTTTTGAATAATAGTTAACTGTTACAACTTCCACCATCCAAAGGTTGGATGGAGAGCCCTTTGATAAATTCAGTCTTACAAACAAGCCCAAAACACCTCCTGCCTATTGACTCCTTGCTTTAGGTAGAGCATCAGCCATTCCATTTGCTGATCTTCTTGCCCATTTAAACTGCACCCCAATCTCCCTTGCTAAGCTCAAGCTTTCTCTTAGCTGCTGTCTGAAAAGCCGCATGCCCAAGTTTCTTGCTTGCATCCAGCCTATTACCAGTTTGGAATTTCCCTCCACTTCTAACTGTTGCATTCCCCATTGCTTTGCCAGTCTGAGACCTTGCAGTAAAGCAAAAGCTTCTCCCTTAAGGAGTCTCCCACCCTATTGGGCCTGAGTAAAGGGCCAACACTCTACCCACCTCAAATATGACAAAGACACAAGCATATAACAAGTAAATAACTGATGAAGGAAAAGAATATCAATATTATAAGTCAGCAGTAACATAATACTAGCCAAACCAGTGAAAAACTACCAAATTCCAATACTATCCTCATATTTCACAGAAAATGACATTCATTAGTAGAAGTTCTAAAGTGTTTTCTGAAGAACTAACAAAATCATAAAATAGACAGCAATACAGGGCTAAAACTGGTAGTAATTATGTAAATCTAGGTGACCACCCAGAAAGCAAAAAGAGTAAAACACAAATAACACAGGAAGGTGAATTTAGAGAATCCAAGTTACCTTTCCCAGATATGACTTCTTTTTCTGTTCTCCATCTTAGTCCAATCTGTGAAAAATTTGCAAGCAATAAAAAGTTCACTTAAACAGCAATACAATGTAAAATCTAACAATGTCAATTCTGTACCGTTCTGCATTTCATAGTCATAGTGTTGACACAACCATCAAATTCAGAAGAAATTTGTTATGTTAACAAAATAAGTGACTAACCCCTATTGTTCTCTGCAAACAAACTTAACAATCTCAATGGAATTTTTTTTTTTTCTGAAGGGGTGGGGGATTCTTAACTAAATAAATGCAGCACGTTTGAAGTGCAAGATGGAAGGAGATAAGGAACTCTAACAACTCATCTCCACTTCTGCATCCCCCAACCTCTTCATGTTAGGGAGTAGCAGGGTCATGGAGGAAGAGAACAGTCCTTGACACTGGCTCTAAAATCAATGCCAGTGCTTCTTTGCTCATACCAAAAGCTTGGGCATTTAATGGATGTCTGGTTTCTCTGTGTAATGTGTTCCAAGAAAAAATGTGATTAAAGTTATAAAAAGTATTACCCTAGAAGAATTAATAGCAAAATAGGGACAAGAGGACACCATTGCTAAGAACATATCAAATGCTCCACCTTGATGAGACTTTAAAGTTTTATCCGAAATACCCTAGATGACCAAGTTATTAACTGCTCATACCTTGCCAGTCTTGTATTGTGACATGTCAGCTAAACAATATCTTCAACAGGTTTAAGGCCAACACAAGGAATTTTCACTGGTTTCTATTTGAAATTTGGTTAGGAACAAAACTGCCTCAGATTGAAACAATTGCAGTTGGATGATGTGACAAACTTAAAAGAAGATATAAATACACCGTGCATAAAACAAATGACCATCATATCTATAAAATAGATTGCAATAGCTCTAGGATATGACGAGGAAATAGAAGAAATCCAAACTGCATCAAGTAACTTTAAAATGTATGAGAGCCAACAATATAAGCTGACCACTAGTGCAAGCAAAGTTGTACTTCAAGCCAAAAAATAGAATAAAGTAATTCCAAACAACTCCAAAATGAAGCATATGAAAAGCTATTCAAACAAAAATGCAGAGCTGATAGATAGAGTCATATTGGTTCTAAAGGTTTGCAGCACAAGGAGGTGGTTTTCTTCAATACAATCCAACAATAACTGTAGAATACCTTAAATGGAAGTATATTTTAATTCTCCAATTCCAAATTCCCAAAACATCAGACAAAAATTTAGACTAAAACCAAGATTCAGAATTTCGATACAACAAGCACTGTATCGGGCATATCATATGGGAGCTTGCCAATACAGGAAATGAAGAGCTTTTGGATTTTTGGTCTTTTCAGGGGGTAGACAGGTCTAAGACCAAGCCCCCCCC